CTTATGAGTTGGCATTGTGACAACTGAGAAGGATTATGCAATACCAAGAATATGTGATTAATATATTTTAGGCCACTGTAAGCATATTCAGTTGCATAATTATCACAGAGGTACAAAAGTAAGCTAAACTAGGTTTTGAAGGCAATGCTATAAATGAGCACTTTCAGTTTACTGAATTCCTTGTTAGAAGAAGAAGGAGATGCTGTGCAGATCTACAACAGCTCTGTTGCTTACAGACCTCTGAGATTCTGCCAATAATTTATAGGAAATGTATGGTTCTGTCCTAAATATTTTAATCTTTGTATGCCAAGTTTCAGGCTTTCACAGGAGATAATCTGTTGGTGTCGCACCGTGTCTGTTAAAAGTCTGAAAAACAATTCTGACTGTTTCTTCCTCAGGCTCAGGTGCCATGGGATATTGCTGCAGAAGTTTATCACAAATGAGTGCTTTGGTTTCCTTTTACTTCCCAAAATCCGCTCTGGTTGATTAGGACACCAGTAATGAAAGTGGGGTGGATCATAACTGAATAGGTTGCATATGTGTTTATTTAAGTCTATAAACATAAAGTAAAATACAAAGCTGTTAGTGTGTGTTTGTCTCACAAAGTGGAAAAACAAAATTAAATTGGTATTGGAACACAAAATTCCCTCTTCACAACTGATTTCTTAGTAATACCATTCCCACTTGAAGTTAAGTGATGTCTGTGTCAGACTAGGCATGTTACTGTTTCAGAGCAAGACTGAGGACCCCCTTTGCCCTCTGAGATCTCTGCACTTTTCTCAGCCTGCTTGGAAACCCTCAGATACTTGAGAACAGGGAGACAGACCGAAAATTTCTGTTCATCCCCTCCCTTGCTGCCATGCCACAAATAGGAGTAGAATTATCTGAAGACTTAAGGAAGCAAAATTTTTATTCTAAAGCCTTTATTTTATTGACATTGCTTGAAGTATAAATTGGGATTTGATTTTTGGAAGGAAAAAAAGAATTAAAATCCTTCATTGCTAGGTCTTGTAGCAGTCATGTCACATAAATTGGCAGATCTGTATATTTAAGGGATTTTGCTCTCTAATTAAATACAGTTAGTAGTGTTTTGCCTTTTGAAATGAAACCTTTGTTTTTTCATCTTCATACTTAGGGAACAAACATGCTGTCAAAATCCTTAATATATCCGACTGTTTGAACATAAGAAACAGCATCAAGCTGTTATTTGTTCTGTTGGAGTGTACTCATATTTCCAATCTGAATCTTTTGTACCTGGTGATCTTAATTATATTTGAGCTGGAAGTAGTTTAACATTAAAGGGAATTACAGAAGATTAATCTGTAAACCTGCACAAATATCACATTCCTTTGTATGGAGGTAAGCAGGGCATAGTGTGCATAATTACATGTTGTTCTCTGTGTAGGTTGTGTGCATAAGGCTGAGGAGTCAGTGTTGCCATTCCTGGTGACAGCAGCAATTAAGGCACACTCTCATTTCTTGCAGTTGTCAGTTACATTAGAAAACATATGTTATTTCTCTCAGTAAGATGATCTTATAATAAGGACAAGCAACAAAAAAAAAAAAATTGAAAAACCCAACTTGCCCTGGAAACAGGAATTAATATACTAATTAGGGAATGAAAATACAGAGAAATTTTTTAAACAATGTTTGTTGTAATATTTTTTAAGTGATATAGCTTGAGGTCAACCCAAGAAGGCCATTTATCTCAACCAGTCAACCATCCATTACACTTTTTGCAAGCAGAGCAACAAAAAAAAAAAAATCAGTAAAAATTAATTGGGAGAGGTATGTTTTCCAGTACTGATGCAGAAATATCATTGGAATCCAGTTGCAGCAGTTTAGCCTCAGTTAGCATAGCATGAAAGAACAGCCTCAGCAAATAAGAATCGTAGTTTATACTAGTAAATACAACTTTTGAATCACAAAGTTGCAGGCAATTGTAGTTGACTATAATTAAGGCCTTTTGATTTGCTTGTGCTTTTAAGGCTGGTCAGGTGGTACTATTGAGCCCATTTAGGAACAGTTTGCCAGAGGACAGGTAGAAAAATGAGTTTCAGAAGAAATATAGCAGAAGAGCAAGCCATTCACAAGCAGTCTGAGCTGTGGAAGGTATGTTCTTGACTACACCAGCTATCTACTGGGCACCTTCCACGTAAGTTTTCAGATGGCAGTAAATTTCCTGATTTGTTTGATGTTCTTGCATAAGCTGCTACCATATTGCAGTGGCTCAGGAAAAACTGTCATAAATTTTAAATTTAGGATATGTACATCTGCCAGAAATGAAGCTTCTTGCAAGTGTGAAGTATTACCTGCATTTCATGAGACTGATGCAGGTGTTGCCTGTAGGACTGGCTGACATGTTCTGACAATTCTCGTTTCATCAGTGTCCCATTGCCTCATGTCCTTTGAATTTGGAGCACTTTTTTCAGTGGAGTTTCTTAAATCCCTCTGGTGAATGTTGATGGTCACCCCAAGTGATCACACAGCACCTAGACAGAAACATCCTTCTCGAAATTGAGAAGGTCAGAGTCATTGTAGGAGAATTCTGGGGTTTTGAAATGCAAACAAACAAAAAACCCCAAAACAAACAAACAAAACCCGAAACAAAACAGGACAAACAAAATTCTGCCTAGTTTCAATGGCCTTCTGCCCTACTGTTAGTCACTGGCAGCTGGAAACTGATTCCCCTTCAGCGCTGTAGATATTGTTCTTGTTTTTTCACTGCTTTTTGTGATGTTCCTTCAAAACAATAGTACAGTACAGGCCAGGACTTTGCAGGCTTCCCCATATAATGGTGCCAATATATTTCCACCCTAATTTGCAGCATGTCTGTTATTACAGACCTTGGTCCCTTCTGAGTACAAGTGCTGACTATGCCAAATTCACATAGTTATTCTGTGATGAGGACAAGGATCATCTAGCGAATAAATGGAGAACACAGTATTCAATTTGCTGGTGACCTTGAATTTGATCTCTCTTCTATCCTTAACAGCCTAGTAAATCTCTGTCCTGTTTAACCCATGTTACCATTGCTGTCCTGTCATACAGACACTTCTGCAACTGCCCTTTCCTCGATACTTACATTTAAATCACCAAAAGAAGAGAGAACAAGGAAAGAACTACCATAAATTCCTCTTCACCTTTTTCTTAGTGTCAGGAATGGCTGCAAAGGTCTTTCACAGTCTTTGTGTTCTTTTTTTATATTTGTCTGAGGTAGAAACCACAAGTTTGATTGATAATGCAATTTGCATCTCAAGGCATCACTGGAAATATAATGGCATGAAAGGCTACTCTCGTGGAGCACACTTTTCCCTCGGGGCTGACTTTAGAAACTCATTGATGTCACTTCCTTCCTCAGTCAGCAAGTGAATTTTCACTAATTCTCAAGACCAGCTGTCCATGCTGTCAACAGAAAGTTATTAAAATTCCTTTAAAGTGAATCAAAATAGCCTAAAAACAAATGTACTGGGAAACAGGAAAGCATCAGTATTCAAAGTCCACAAACCTTTGAGCAAAATAGTGTTGATCTAACCAGAGATTTCAAACACTCTGCTTTCCTAGCAACTTGTATATCATTAGAGAATGCTAAAAACACATACTCCTTTAATCTTCTATTACCAACAATCTATTTGGTTAAAATATTAGTTACAAGAATAAATCTTATTTCTCCCAAAGATGAACTCAGTGAACAAGGGAATACATTTTAAGAAATCTCTCCTAAATGATAGTTGTGTAGAGGGTTTTTAGCTTAAAAAAAGGATCATTTTTATATTTAGCAAATAAAAACACAACACAAGCATGCAGGAAGTAATTATCATAAGAGACAATCTTATAATATAGGCTTAAGTAATTATCTTTATCTGAATTATCTATAATGCTTTCATTGAAAAGAGTAGTAGTCTCAAGGATGAGTAGGGAAGATAATTTTCCTTTAAATAGAGTCTTTATACTGTATTTTAACACTTTATATATTTATACCTCATTTTAAAAATTCTGTTTGTGCCACACATATTAGTATGGAAAAGTTCTGTTGAAAGGGAGTATCATTTCCAGTGCTGGAGGTGGCAGTCACCCATGCTAGGCAGTCTCCCCTGACAGTTAGTAGTGGTACTGACAGGTTGTAAGTCGTGTCTCCTATCATTATTATTTTTAAAAACCCTCTGGGTGCACGTAGCCTAGCTGGATAGGCAAGTGTGAAATTCCTGACTTTCCCCTATACGTGTGGATGGTCTCCAATAGCAAAGGGAGGGTAATTGATACCAGCTGCCCTTTTGACATCTAGTGCATGGGAGCAGTAAATGAGACAAAATTGGTCGAAAAGAAAAGAATGGTTTTGAGGTGTCCTTGCTGCTAGGGTCCCAGACAGCTGTAGAAAGCAGTGCATTGTCCAGGCTCTGATTATATCTCCAGGAGCACACTGAAGGATGCTGCAGAAGAAGGCCAGAATAAGGAAACAAAACCATCACTCAACTTGCCGCTTTGTGATATTATCAGGATAGAATTTCTCACTTGAGCCAGCTGGTGCCGAATCTCAGTCTTGACACAGACACGTAATTTTATTTTAAGGTAATGGCAGAAGTCACTTTCCTCCTCCAGTGGTCAAATCTTGAGCTGGATGTTACCAGTTTCTCCAGCACATAGTACACTCTCACAATATTAAGATGCTTCATAGCACGTATTTGAAATTTGTTGCCTCCCCTTTAAATTTTGTGATTTCTTTGTGGTTCCAGCTTAGCAAGATTGGCTACCCTGTATCAGTTATCCTTTTATCACATCTTGATTAAGAGGGGCTTGTGTTTCTTTTATTATAGGTAGATTTCCATTTTGAAGTTTCAAGTAATTTCTACATATTAAATTCTGTTTCTTAATTATAAAGTTTGATTATTTTTTTGATTAATTCACTGTTTATTGTTCTGTGGCATGTATGTTGAGAGTGACATGTCCAATATCATCTTCATTAAAATATGTACAAACTAATTCTTTTATTTCTCTTTCAGAGTCTGGAAAAAAGCTGCGACAACAGATAATTAATCAGGTATTTAGAAACATTCATACTTTTTGTTACTTAATTTTTCACTTAGAAGAGTTATAGCAATTAAAAGGCAGAAATCCACAGGATATGCTAATATTAACAATGCAGATGTGCTAAGGAGCATGCATCAGACTACTGACTGACTCTGAAGATATGTTGAATTAACAAAAGTAGCCATTGTTTTGATTTAAACCTAAGATTTGCCATTTAAGCAATTTAATTCATCTACTTCTCAATATGTTGATGCTGAGGACAAAGCCCAGAAATAACTTGTTCACTGGTACCAAATTTTGTAGCACAGAATTATGCTTTTTTTAAAAAACAAAACAAAACAAACAAACAAAAAACCAAAACAAAAAAAAGTGATATTTCTGCTATTTGCTAATATTCCTTTTCAAAAGGCAGAAAACTATTGATACAAAATACCTGAACAGCACATGTAAGCAGTGTATTTCAGTGTTGCTTAGGTTATTTCTGCCATGAATTTTCATTGAGACTGCACTAAACTGTGACATTGCTTGTAGAGGCATTTTCCATCTTGTCCTTATTACTGTATCAGTAGGAGTATCCTAGGAGTAACTACCTAGGAGAAAAAAAAATAAGTTTATATATTGTAATTTATGATTTCAACATCAGGAAAAAGATATAGGAATTAAACTAAAAAAAAATCTTACCCAGAAAGAGAGGAGAAAACTCAGAGTTTACCTCCCTCAATTATGTGTCCTCGTAGATTGAAAGGACCTGACTCGTACAAAAGCAGTGAACTTGCTTGTCATTTTTTGGCTTCTTGTCCTCTTGCTGAATGCTGTATTTGTATTCCAACAATTACTCTCCCTTCAGTTGCCTTCCTTCCAAGCTATAAATGGAGGCATTGGCATCATTACATCACTGCTATCTGTGAACTGATCACCTTTATGAACCACCAACCTGACAGTTAGTCAGGTTAGTGCTCTAGTCCACCTAAAGCATCCTGGTCTGGGGCTAACAGCAATTCCCCTGGCATGGCTGAGCATGGCACAGATGTCACTTTATCACTTTCAGTGGCCTGAGTTGGCACCACTCCTCACGAAGTAAGCCCTTGCACATCTGAACGCTTATGGGAAGCCTGGTCCTGTGACACAAAATAACACTCAGAGTTGTTACAACTTTCTTATTATCTTAAGAAATTGATGGATAGATATATTTAGCCCAGAATATAGCATTGCATAAGCAAAGGAAAACCTTCACTTTTTTAAATAAGTGTAGAAATATTTTGAAATTCAGTGGAAGTTCTCTACTTTGACTGAGCGTTTATGTCTTAGAACAAGTCTAATTAACTGCATTTTAAAATTAGCCCAAAATATCTTGCAAAGCCACTTTTGGGAGTCTTTATTGGCCAGAAGGGGGGGCACTTGTATTTTTAAAACACAACTTGAGGCTCCATTGGCAGGGCTGTGAGTTGTTGATAGGAGACCTAATTCTGCACATTTTCTCTGTGACAAAATCAGCTCTGTTGATGCCATTGCCCTTTTCTGAGGAAGAGTGTATTGTGATAAAAAAGGCATTTGTCTCAATTTCAATACGTGGATCAGGTGCTGTACTTTGTTTATCCAGTCTTGGGCTTTTCCTGCATGCCACTGCCTTGCCCTTCTGGAATTGCTCACCTGCTCTGTCTCTCTGCAGTTAACTTAAGAACATCGCCTTTTGTGGGAGTATTTCATTGTCTTGATACGCTGAGGATGTATCTAAACAAAGCTGTGAAAGGTTGATTTGGGAACAAATAGTGGACATTCACTTTAAAATGGATTCTAATGAAGCTGGTGATGTCCCATTCTATATAAACTTCCTTTGAACTTCCAAGAAATGGAAGAATGTTTCAGAACAGAAATCAATTTCATTTTGAAGTCTATAATTTGGGGCACAGTTGCAGAGGCACTGCATATTTGATTTGTCTTTTTATTACTTCAGTAAAAAGATTTGAACTGGGGCTAATCCTAATGGAATACCTCTCATGGAAAGATTCCGTTTATTTTCAATTCTGAATTTAAAATGTTTTATGCAGGATAAGATACTTATCTGGCTTGAGGTCTTGTAGTCCCCTTTAAGTTGATTCAACAACAGTGAGTTAAACTGGCTGCCAGAAATTTAAGTTAGGGAGAAGTGTCTCCACGGAAGATGAATGATGTTAAAATTTGAGAGGAGCAAGAGTGCAAAGGGGCAAGTAGCAGTAAATATCTTGTTGAGAGGTGAGTGAAACAGAGAGGGGATGGGGAAATGATAAAGCTGCTGTCCCAGTGATCTACTGGGTAAACCCCTGGCTGTCTGTGCATACCTGGAAACCTCTCACGTCTTGAAGACCACTGTGGTTTCTGTGTGGTTCTTAGATCTCTCTAAAGCCTAAACAAAGTTTAGTGAAACACGACGAAGATGAAACACTAAGGTAGTATCTGCTTCCAGAAACCTTTCACTACAGTTATCATCTTCACTAACTTTTGTTCTCTTTGATCATAAAGCATTTACTCATTTTCCTCGAACACCTTTTTTGTCATTTATGTATATAGATATGCATGTTCCTTTAACAGCAGTGGTCATCTAACACCAGCAGTCAACCAGAAATAGCATGTGCTCTGCTTTTCAATATCTGTTTTTAGCTACCTTTGCAACTTCAGGGTAAATTCTGGTACCAATGTATAACCTGATTAGCTGTAATATGTTAACCACTGCTGAGGAAGATGCAAGGAAACAAGAAGAAACCTTGGGTTCCTGTGTAACAGTCTTGTCAAAACAATACACTGCAGACCACCAAACAAAATGTGTCTGAAGGCAATCTTTTGTGTTTCATCCTTACCACTCCTTACCACTCACATTTGTTTTTGTTGCGGTCCTAATGTCCACTTCTACATACAGTTTCCTCCAGTGCCTCTGAATCTATGAAGGACTAACAAGAATATGTGTACTTGGATTTAGAAGTTGAAGTTGTTTGCACAGTCAGACTCTTGGGTTAAAATCACAGCTGTGTTTGAGCTCAGGCTTGAGCCTGTCTCTTCTACAGTGAAGCTGCATGTCAGGTCAGGTGGATAGTGAGAGGGCTCCACAATATCTGTCCCACTGTTCTGCCCTAAAGTATCTCTGTCAAGGCAGGCTCTCTTGCAGTGGCACATCCATCTCTTAATCTTTTAAGATCTTTTTCAGGAAGCATTTCCCCTTCTGCATGTGGGGTTGGGGAACCAGCAATGCAGAAAGGTTTGTGATGCGGCAATATACTTACTAGAGCTGAACTTGGACCAGGGGTAACTGCAGCACTGAAGTACTGTCAGTATATATACACCTTGTGCCAAAGAAAAGAAGTGATAAGCAACTCAAGCAACTGTTAAATGACAATGTGAGTTTGTTGCACAGACAATGCTGAGGAATGACTTGTGACCTGAAGGGTGCTTCAGGTACACTCACGGTATAATAAATCTATATTAATATGAGCAAAAACTTCACAGTTCAGTCTAAACTCCTCGTTTGCCCTTGTGCACTGCTGTAGTTTACTTCAGTACTCTCCTTTATCCCCTTCATCATTTCACTTGGCCTAGCTACAAAAACTTCAGTTGAGTATGCCAGCTTCCAAGTACATTGAGGTTATCTAATATGTATGTCCCTTGGTTCTGTTTTCCCAGTTACTTTGTTAGGTCAAAATTAGGAGTTTGAAAATCTACAAGAGAGCTTATGCCTTTAGTTCAGTTTGTTTAGTGGGCTATTATTTCACTTTCATGTGCTTCAGAGTCACATAATGGTTGAGGTTGAAAGGCCTCTCTTAGACATCATCTTGTCTAAACCTCTTCCTCAAAGCAGAGTCAGCTAGAGCAGTTTGCCCAGTATTGTGTCTAGCTGGATTTTGAATACTTCCAAGAATGGAGGCTCCACAACCTCTGGTCAGCCTGTGCCAGTGCTCAATATTCAAACAGTAGAAAAATATTTTCTCATATTGAGATGGAATTCCTTGTGTTTCAGTTAGTGCCCACTGGCTCTTGTCCTGTCACTGGACACCACTGAGAGGAGTCTCCCACACCCCCCACATTCCCCCCATCAGGGATTTATATACATTTATAAGATCCGTCTAAGCCTTCTCCAGACTGAACAGCACCAGCTCTCTCGGCCCCTGCTTGTATGTCACATGTTTCTATCCTTTAAATACCTTGTTGGAATTCACTGAACTCACTCCAGCATGTCTACATCCGTGTCCATTTATACACTGGACTCATTGGAGTATGTCCATGTCTCCTGCATTGGGAGACGTGGGAGACAGAACTGGACATGTCCCCTCTGGTGTATCTGTGTCTCACCAGAGCTGAGCAAAGGTGAAGGATCACCTCTCCTGATCTGCTGGAAATGCTGTGCCTAATGCAGCCCAGGAGGCTCTCAACCTTTTTTTACCATGAGAGCACATTGCTGGCTCACAGTCAGCTTGTTCTCCAGTACCCCCAGATCCTTTCCTACAAAACTGCTTTCCAGCTGTCAAGCCCCAACCTGTACTGGTTCCTGGGATTGTTCTTCCCCAGGTGCAAGACTTCGACTTCTAGCTTGTCAAATCTCATGAAGTTTCTGTTTACCCATTTCTCAAGTTCATTATATTCTGTCTGAATGGCAGCATAACCCTCTGGTATATCAGCCACTCCTTCCAATTTTGTATTGCCTGCAGCACTGGTGAGGGTACACTCTGTCCCACCATCCAGGTCAGTAATAAAGATATGGGACAATTTTTGAACCGTTGTCTGGGACAATTTTTGGACCATTGACTCTGGGACACTAGTTATCAGCCTCTGGCTGGATTTTATGCACAACTGTGTAAGCCTAAGTAGTTCATCCAGTTTTCAGTCCAACTCACTGAACACTTACCTAGCCTGTACTTCATGAGGACGTTATGGGAGACAGTGCCAAAAGCCTCAGTAAATTTGAGATAAACAAGCTTTAGTACTCTACCCGCACCCACTGAGGCAATCATCTCATCATATAAGGCTATCAGACTGGTCAAGCAT